ACAGACTCTCGTAATACAGACTGAGTTTGACATTTGGTGCGGCACTGGAGTCCCCGATGTATACCAATGCCATCAAAATAGTGGCGAAATATATGTTACACATATTTGCGATCAGTTTTAATAGTTTATTATTAAAACACAATATGAATTATGAATAATAATTACTTTTTATTATTACTGTATGTCTCTATTTATATAAATGTGTTATTGATTAAATTCATGTGAATTGTATTTAAAGCAAACATTTGCTAATAAGAGATAAAAAGCACGATGGTGATTATAACTATGTATTTACCAATTACTCTGTATTTAACTCACTTGAAACTGAAACCAATCGCTGGGCCACCTTGAACATTTTAGTGATACATAATGTTTTTTCATAAGAATTTTAAAAATAATATTTGTGATTATTTTTATAGTGTGCATAAACTTAGGTTTATTAAGAAATAAATGTAAACGGTAAATTAAATGCATAAATGTCAATGTCAATGAAAATGCCAATGCATACTACTATCAGGTATATTTTATTAACTAGAATAGTTAGTACTGAAACAAATAACAATTAATCTTGATAAACAATAAACTTAATTGAAATCACTTGAAATTTTATTTTATCAAATCTCTTATAACAAGTGAATTTTACTATTCAATTAATTTCACAATAAAAATAGAGTGTTTAATAATTTAATGCAAACATTTAATATTTGACAAAAATATATAATTTTGCTTATTTTTTACACGCGTCTGGTTTTGTGCCCTATATTTAAGAGTAAATAAAATAAAATTAATAAAACCTACAAATAATTAAATAAGAAATTATAGCCAACATACAGTATAGGTGTCGCATACGAGTGCCACCAGGTCCTTTTCAGCTCTATCACTGATCTCTGCCGTGTGTTGACCATTGAGTAAAATGTGTGGCACTCCTGTAGGCTTGGGGGTCGCCTTATTAAATACCTCACCCGCCAGAAGGTGTAGTCCCCGACCCAACGGTCCCGTCGCGCACTCATCAATGGCCGCCCAATTGAGACCCTGTTTTGTTGCGCACTGTTTCGTAAGTTAACACAAAAAATATATTAACTTTCTATCAGAAAAATATCAAACTATGGGTTAGACCTCTTTGCCAGCCGTGAGCGGAGTTTTATAATCAGTTGCGTTATACATACAGCCAAACAAAGTCAGAGTTTTAGCAATGGTTTCGGTGTTTAAGACACAATTCTGTAGTTTAAAAGTTTTTAAAAATCATAAAACAATTAGTTATTTAATAAAAATAAATTATTTGTATGATAGCGGGCTCCTACATGTATCTCATTGCCGATGCACTCCTGCACCCCGTGCTGGCACGTGAACTCCACATCGAAAGTGCCGTCAGGTTTGGTCACTTTGGTAGACTTGGCCCACCCGTACGGCACCAGTAGGTCGACCGTCAGTATGGACTCTAATTTCTGATACGTTGGCACCAATTGGTTGAGAATGAAGGCCCGAGAGTACGGACACAGACTCTCGTAATACAGACTGAGTTTGACATTTGGTGCGGCACTGGAGTCCCCGATGTAAACCAATGTTACCAGGATAGTGGCCAAATATATGCTACACATATTTGCGATCAGTTTTAATAGTTAATTATTAAAATACAATATGAATTATTAGTAATAATAATTAATTTTTATTATTAGTTTTTGTTTCTATTTATACAATTTAATGGAGTTACTGGTTAAATAAAGTACATGTGAATTGTATTTAAAGCAAACATTTGCTAATAATAGATAAAAAGCACGATGGTGACTATAACATTGATTACATTTACATTTTACAAATTATTCTATATATAACTCAACTGAAACTGAAATCAATAGTTGGACCACCCTGAACATATAATGTTAGTGATATATAATGAATTTGTATTAAGAAGTTAAAAAATAATATCAGTGATTATTTTTATGGTATGCATAAACTTATTTTTATTACTGTAAAAAATAAAAGTATACTGTAAATTAAATAAATAAATATAACTACTGTACTGTTAATGTCAATACCAAGCACATACTACTATCTGGTACAACTAGAATACAGTAGTATGTGCAAGGTACACATAAAAATTAATCTTGATAAACAATAAACTTAATTGAAATCACGTGAAATTTTATTTTATCAAATCATCATATATTATACAGTAATAGAAAAATTATAAAAGCGAAACACTTATAAATTCTTGCAGTCATCAGGTTTTGGTCCCTAATTGTTAGTAAAATATAAATTATTAAAACAAAACTATATTTATCATAATATTATACATACGGTGTAAGTGTCACAAACTATTTTCATGAAATGGTGTTCAGCCTTATCCTGTAATTCATCAGTGTGTTGGCCATTGACAATAATCCATGGGAACCAGGTGATTTTGGGTTTAACCGCCATCATTCGCTCAAAGCCCTGAATGTATAGTCCACGGCCTAAAGGACCCTGAGCACACTCGTTTATTTGAGCCCAATTAAGACCCAACTTTTCTGAACACTATATTTTAAAAATAAAACATAAATTACCTTTTCATAAATTATAGACAAATAAACACCTGTTTCCCGGCGTTCACTTGTGTCTGATAATCAGGTGATGTAAACATACAGGACAACAGGGCCAGGGTCTTGTCTATTGGCTCCATTTCCATCACACAAGCCTATTATGGGAACAATTATTTTTCAGTAAAAAAAGTTGCTAAAAACTTAAATAACTAAAGCAAAGTATTTGATAAACTGTCATATTTTATTATGTAAGGTATTATATTTTATTCATGAGACTACCTGAATGAGAGTACCCTGGACTTCGGTCAAGTTTTTGATTGTGATATCATAGGTGCCATCGGGGTTTGTTTTATTGGTCCAGCTATAGAATGCGAACGTATTGAGCTGTATGTCCAATATTGAGCCCAACTTCTGGTACGTGGGGTACAACTGTTCGCTCACATACTTTGTACAGTCGGAGCAAAAGTATTCAAAATTGACATTAATATTGACTTTTGGGACCTCATTTGCTCTCAAAGTGTACGCTAAAGTCAATATAAGAGCAGATAATATATACATATTCATTGTTTATTCAATTATTTAAGTATTATATAATGTTTAAAGCAATTTTATATAATGTCTATATTGTTGCAACTAATTTAGACTCAATTTATAGTGAGTTAAAATAATGAATATCTATACAATAGTTTGATCGTAAGCGTGGCAATAAATTAATAGCACTTCACATTAAGTGGTGATTTATTACAAACCACTTTGGTTATCAATTTTAATCAAAATTTATAGTGAGTTAAAATAATGAATATCTATACAATAGTTTGATCGTAAGCGTGGCAATAAATTAATAGCACTTCACATTAAGTGGTGATTTATTACAAACCACTTTGGTTATCAATTTTAATCAATACAGCAACTGTACTGAATTCAGTGTGCAATATTATTTTCAAATTAATTTTACAATTACGATATTACATTCTGTATTGAAATACTGTATTAAATTGGTATAAGTACCACTTTATTTATATTGGGTTTCGTAAATAGTTTCTAATTGAATTTTAAATCTACTGGAATTTATTACTCAGTACATAGTATTGTAAAAATTTAATTATATCATTTAAGTACACAATAAAAATACGGATTATTTACTAAATAATTTTAGTAAATCGTTATGAGCAGGTATATGATAAGTTTTAACAAATAATTTTTTGGTTTATCTAGAGATTAGCCTTCAATTACTATTAATTTTATTTAATTATAATGCGTTACTCAACATTGATATACAGTATAAATTTTTGTTTATATATAAATAATATTATACATAAATATAATTTTATAAAACAAATCATGTATTTACTATCTTCCAAATAATTTACGTAAATTGAGTTCTTTTGTATTGTATTTGTAGTAAAATATGATTAAAATGCTTAAAATGTTATCTTATGTTACAAAGGTACACAAATGTTACAAATTGTCCTCATAAGTACACATGCTTATATGAACTATCAATAACATGTAACATGTATTTGAAAATAAAAATCAATAACATGTCAATGAATATATTATACAGAAGTTTATTTAATCTGTTTATAAATTATAAATATCAATACCAATAGTTTATAAGAAACTTTTGAACAGCAAAATTTTTATTTTAGTTATAATAAAGTTTCATTTTAGTAAATTATTTTAGTATTTAGATACATATCAGTTAAAAAGCATTAAAATAGACATTTAAATATGTTTAATATTTATTAGATTTCATTGAAGAATTCATTGACTTTTTTGCAGGCATCAGGTTTTGGACCCTATATTCATACAAACAAATACCAAATTAATAAAATACATACAAATATCACATGAGTGGACATACAGTATAGGTATCGCATATGAGTCCCAATAAATCAGTGTCGGCCCTTTTATTGATGGCATCCGTATGGACACCATTGACTATAATCCAGTCCACGTAATCTGGTTTAGGATTTT